AAAAAAAAAAAAAAAAAATGAAAAAAAAAAAGAAAGAAAAACTTCTCTGATAATTTACTACCAGAGAAAAATCATTGTAAATATGTATGTAGTATTATAAGATAGTCTTCTTGTTCTAATTGACATTATTGCGAATTAATTCGTTGCTCTCTCTCCCCCCCCCTCTCCCCTGCATTCATCAATGATATTCCCTTTAATCGTAAAATAAAATAATGATAAGCAAGAAAAAGAAAAATTATCAAACGAAATCGTTTTGCAAAATATTTTCTTCAATATCTTCGCTATTCTGTCATTCGTTCGGATATCAACTTAGGGAAAAAAGCCTTATCTTTAATGGGATATATATATATATACAAATATGTCAGACTATGGGGAATGTCCATTGATTTTTTTTTTGAGTTTGAGCGACGAAAATATCTGCAAAATGTCGATTCTTAATCCACGTTGTTTGTAAACTAATGTATTTTATAAAATATATAATATAGAAAAATTCCTCCTGAGAGAGAAAAAGAAACAGAGAGCGAGAGAGTGAGAGAATGTGAGAGAGAGAGAGAGAGAGAGAGAAATGAAGAGAGAAAATATACAGAAAAATAATATCTACAAAGAGAAAGAAAATAGAAAAAAGATAAAAAAAAAAAAGGAAAAAAAAGCAAATGTGAAAAGATTATTAAACGCAACGACGTCAAAAAGGTTTTCCCCTTTTCGCGTAGATTGAAAATGCAATAATATCGTTGCATTGTTTTTATGTAAATGTAAAATACAATTTTGATGGGAAAGTGTGAGAGGGTGGTGATAGAGTGAGAGAGAAAGAGCGTGCGAAACAAGAGAGAGAGATATCGAAGGGAAAATAAATAAATCATAATAATAATAACATATTACACTATTACGTAAATAAATCTTAATATCCGAAATAAAATAATTTAAACGAAATAAAAAATTAACCGATATAGCGTTTAATCAGTAGAAAGAAAAGGGAATAAATAAATAAATGAATAAATAAATAAATAAATAAAAGAAAGAAATAAAAAAAGTAATTAAATTAAAAACCGAGGTGAGAATAATTCGTCTCGTCAATTTCATCAAGCTTTTATTCGCGCAGTTTATTGCGATTGCCGTACAAAATAATTCAAAACGCCAAACAGGGTGGTCGAAAGAAAGAAAAAAATTAAACGTGAAAATAAAAGAAAAAGAAAAAAAAAAAAAAGAAATATTACGATTCTTTCAAATTATTTATTAACGTTTACAAATTATACGAGAATAGAAACGAAATAAGATAGTAAAAAACTTCGATCTCCGCTCTACCACTCCTTTTCTCTTTCCATTTGTCCTACCAACAACAATTACAATTGAAAAATTAAAATTAAAATTAACGAAAAACAAAAAAAAAGAAAAAAAAGAGAGAGAGAGAGAAAGAGAGTAATATAAACGAAAAAAAAAAAAAAAGAAGAAAAAACAAAATCAGAACAGGCAACAAGACGTCAATTTTCATTTTTCCTTTTTTCCATCGAATTTACGCCGATCTTAAATATATCGTCCCGTTAATAATAATAATAATAATATTGTTAACGAATAGTACATTACATTTCTTACAATTTAGTATTGTTTTTTGCTGTTCAATTAGCTTTTATGCTGTTGTTTTCTTTTTTCTTCTTCTTATTAATCCCTTAATGCACAATTTTCTTTATTTTAATTTAGATAAAAATAAAAAAAAAAAGAAACACTTTCTTTTTGCCAGATAATTATATGTTATTCTTAAAAAAAAAAACAAATAAACGAAAACATTTTTCAGTTTGTCAACAATTTAACATCAAATGTGACATAAAAACGGGAGCTGTAATATTCTTAAAGGATTCACGAAGCAGCACAAATCTGCAAATAAAGGGCCCCCCTCCCCGTATATAACACGGAACTGTGCATTAAGAGGTTTATTATAATTATTATTATTATTATTAATATTATTATTTGTTTTGATTCTTACGATGGTCGCTATCCCCGATTACTCTTGCAAAGCTGCCATATAATACAAACACGCTTACCGGTTTACCACCGTTTCAAAACGGTAACCTACCAACCACCACCCCATAACGATCTTATCCTTTCAATCATATATTCTTCCCGTTTTTAAAACAACGGGATAGGATAAGAAAAGAAAAGAAAAGAAAAAAAAAAAGAAAAATAACGTACGAATACAAACGAAATCGTTGTACATTTTTTTTTTTTTTCTTTTCGTCCGGTGTACAATACACCATAATATATACGTGTGTTTTTAATTAATATGATAAAAAAAAAATTCGAGAATCACGGAATAGCGACTGATCGATTGATTGATTGATTGATCGATCGATCGATTGATTGATTGATTAATCGATCGATCGATCGTAATTACGTTCGTGATAGTAAGTGTGATCATTTGAAATATGAAAATGGATATAATATTGATCGTTAATCACTCTCCTTTCGACGTAATTCGAAGTGCAAGCGTCCGTCGTTTGTAATCTAATTAAAAACTTTGTAGTAGATTGTTTGTGTGTGTGTGTGACGTGTGCGTGTGTTGTGCGTATGTGTACTAAGTGTATATGTATGAAATTCTCATATCGAAAATCGTTAAAATTCGATCACAATTATACGATCGTTTTGAATTCGTAATTAACGATAAACGATGACAGGTGACACGAGAATTTTGTAATATATATATCTTATTTATCGAAACCGATCTATTTCGATTGTATTTCGTTAATATTCCAATCGAAATACTTGCCCGTGATGGCACGGTCTTTTTCCGTCGTTAAATTTGACGGGCTTCCGGTGAAGAAATAGAAAAGATAGAAAAAGAACTATTATTGGAAACATTAACATGATCCGTCGAACATTTACTATTTGATTTTGTACTTTTTGTTAGTTTTTGTTTGTTTGTTTATTCCCTTATTTATCGTCGATCTCTATATTCTTGAAAAATTGGAAAAGTATCATTTCTGTAAAATTTTAATTTTGAAAAAATACGATGTTCCCTCCTCTAATTAGGAACAAATAATTTTTGTTTGTTTTTACATTTTATTTCATTCTTTTCTTTATATAATATTTGTGTTTCACACATATTCGGGTACTCCTGTACATCATCAGAGATCTATTTAATTCTTTTTTTTCTATATATAAATAATATTATTTGCAGAGAGAGAATATACCGTTTATATTAAAGAAAACACATATTTAAAATGCTGTGATTTATCAATGATTATCGTCAACGCAATAGTTAGATTGATTTTTCTTTTCGACGACGAGAAAAAATGCTTGTCGATAGGGAAAAATTGCATTTAGAGTTTTGTTTTTTTTTTTGGTTTTCGACGAGTTCGATGAAAAGAAAAAGAAAAGAAGAAGAAAAACGATAAGGGAAGAAATAAAAGTCACAGGATGGGGGGGGAGGGGCTGGTTGCACGTAGGAAAATAAATGGAAAAAAATAAATAAATGAAAAGAAGAAAAAAAAAATTCGTTAAATCGCACCACATTCTATCCGAATTACGTGCCCTACCGTATCCAGCACTCGTCTTTGTATCATACTACTCTTAGCTATTATTCATAATATATTCAGCGTTATAACATCGTGGTAACAATAATAACGACGTAGGATATGTATATATATATATATATATATTTATCTCATTTATGTGTGTATATATATATATATATATGTATGCATACATATATATATATTTTTTGTATTTTACTTCTACCTTGGCTGCATTGGACTGTATTATATTGATTGTATGTGGCATGCCGAGGGCGTGTATAAATACGAAATAAATATTAAATAAATCATGATCGATAGATTTGAATGATTTTATTTTTATTAATCACGGCCATAATTCGTTAAGCGAATATAACAAATGTGTTTTTGTGTCATCTTTATGAATTATTATTTATCAAGAAGAGAGATATATTGTGTTCGTGAAAATATTCTCTGTTCAAAAAATTATCCAAGATATTTTGTAAATTTTCTTTCAATCAATATTCTATTAGAAAAAGTATTTTAAATATTAGGAGAAAAAAAAAGGATATATATATATATATATATCCCTGTGTTTATTTGTCACGATTTGATTTTTAATCAG